CTCATTTTTAATGTTTACCTTACATAATAAGGCCCATTCAGGTATTGTGGTGACTGTGAAAGTATGCTAGCAGTCCTCCAGTGTTAATATTGGTAACGGTAACCCAGGGTTTGACACTGGTGTTCTGAATTAGCGACACTTGTTACCAGGCTCATTTTTAATGTTTACCTTACATAATAAGGCCCATTCAGGTATTGTGGTTACTGTGAAAGTATGCTAGCAGTCCTCCAGTGTTAATGTTGGTAATGGTAACCCAGGGTTTGACACTGGTGTTCTGAATTAGCAACACTTGTTACCAGGTTCATTTTTAATGTTTACCTTACTTAATAAGGCTCATTCAGGTATTGTGGTGACTGTGAAAGTATGCTAGCAGTCCTCCAGTGTTAATGTTGGTAATGGTAACCCAGAGTTTGACACTGGTGTTCTGAATTAGCGACACTTGTTACCAGGTTCATTTTTAATGTTTACCTTACTTAATAAGGCCCATTCAGGTATTGTGGTGACTGTGAAATTATGCTAGCAGTCCTCCAGTGTTAATATTGGTAACGGTAACCCAGGGTTTGACACTGGTGTTCTGAATTAGCGACACTTGTTACCAGGCTCATTTTTATTTTTTATCTAAGTAGGTAGCTTGCTCTGATTGGAAGTTAATACATATGTATGCACATTCTTATGTGTGAACAATATATGGTGAGGAGATTTAAGTGTAATAGGAAAATTTTGCAATGATGCATATTTTCATTGCCAGACCTTGTACACCACAATATGTCATCATATATGGGTAGGCATACCCAATACTACCAACACAAAATAAATGTAAACATTCACCATACTGGAAATTTGCATGAGGACAAAAAGTAAACTAATAGAAATCACAATTTGTTTATGGAGTAGTTGTAGAAGTTTTTGAATGCTATTTTTTTCTCTCTCTCACTATCTTGACTGTATAAGTATGCCAGATTACCTCTACATAGAATTATTCAACCCAATTTACACTGCATAGTAATAAACAAACAAATTTCTTAGGTACTGCAGAGCATGCTTAGAGTTATTTCTCATCTAAAGATCAGAACTACCTTTGAATATCATTTATATATGTGTTGAAGTTATGTTTTACAGGAAAGTTATTAACACAATTCATTCATTAGTGAAAATGGTGTTTTAGGCATACCAGTAAATATTGGCAACTTACCAGATACTAAAATTGTAGGCTTTTTTAGTGAGCACTGTGTACTGTTGTCACAAACTCAAATTGAGTGGATAACACAAAATATAGATCAAAGAAAGAGTTTCAAATCCTTTTAAGATTATAAATATTTTGACCTCTTAGCAGTCAACTCTAATAATATAAACTGTTGATGTGGTAGGTATTATATCTATTGTTCTAACTGTTGAAACCTAGTTAATGTGGTAGGTATTATATCTTCTGTTGTAACTGTAGAAACCCAGTTGATGTGGTAGGTATTATATCTACTGTTCCAACCGTTGAAACCTAGTTGATGCGGTAGGTTTATATCTACTGTTCTAACTGCTGAAACCTATTTGATGTGGTAAGTATTATATCTACTGTTGTAACTGTAGAAACCTAGTTGATGCGGTAGGTGTTATATCTACTGTTCCAACCGTTTAAACCTAGTTGATGTGGTAGGTATTATATCTTCTGTTCTAACTGCTGAAACCTAGTTGATGCGGTAGGTATTATATCTTCTGTTGTAACTGTTGAAACGTAGTTGATGTGGTAGGTATTATTTCTTCTGTTGTAACTTTTGAAACCCAGTTGTTGTGGTAGGTATTATATCTTCTGTTGTAACTGTTGAAACCCAGTTGATGCGGTAGGTGTTATATCTACTGTTCTAACTAGTGAAACCTAGTTGATGTGGTAGGTATTATATCTTCTGTTGTAACTGTTGAAACCCAGTTGATGTGGTAGGTATTATATCTTCTGTTGTAACTGTTGAAACCTAGTTGATGCGGTAGGTTTATATCTACTGTTCTAACTGTTGAAACCTATTTGATGCGGTAGGTGTTATATCTACTGTTCCAACTGTTGAAACCTAGTTGATGCGGTAGGTTTATATCTACTGTTCTGACCGTTGAAACCCAGTTGATGTGGTAGGTATTATATCTACTGTTCTAACTGTCAAAACCTATTTGATATGGTAGGTATTATATCTACTGTTCTAACTGTTGAAACCCAGTTGATGTGGTAGG